AGAGGTTACTTATCTTGCCCAAGGCCACACAGCAAATAAAAGAACTGGGATTTTGCCAAGTGTGTGGGAGACACACAAAAAAACACACTTTGTTGGGGGGGGTCCCCTCTGTTTAGAAATGGGGGAGTTGCTTCTAACTGGGGCACCAGGGTAAACCGAACATGTTTTTATTCCCACGCTGAGTTCTCCAAATTTAGGTGTTTATAGTACTCCAGGCTCACCCATCTTGAGATATAATTTAAGACATTCCTCTGGATTTATTTTTGTATCCATTTTAGTCAAAACATCCAGACATTATCTGCAGTTGAGTCTCCACTCCTGCTGCCTAAGGTTTTGAGTTGATATATATATATATATATATATACATGTATACATATATTTTTATCTTTTGTTATTGAGAGCTGGGCTTGTTTGTCCAGTGCTGGAGGTTTTGTCACCTGGGAAGGTGTGCCCTTATGTATGGCTGTGACCAACACCTGCCAGGGTATGGGGTTCCTGACACCTGGTATCATCTTAGCCTCACATAGGTGGTGGGATCTGCTGGTAATGATGTCAAGAAATGGTTGTTTTTTGAAATGCCCTTGACTATTGAGTACAACTCAGCTTTGGCTCCCCCAGCCGCCCCCCCGATTTCTTTCTTTTTTATTTTTCCTCCCAGTCAACCGAAGGGAAACTTTATTGAGGTCTCTGGGCCATGGGGCTTGGGCAGGAGGCTGCCCAGTCGGGGAACCAGGGGCCTTATTCGACCTTATTCCTGGGGCGCAGGTTTTTGGTGTGGCCAGATGACAGCACGGGGGCGCCAGTGAGCACTACGCCTGCAGCAGATCATCTTGGGGCGCATGTATCTCGGGGTGGGCTGGCAGGGAAGGCTTCAGGATGCCAGCCCTCAGGCGGAACCCAGTGCAGGTGGACTCCTGGATGTTGTAATGGGCACAGCGCGCCTGCCCTGTGGCCGCAGGTATCAGATGCTGCTGGTCAGCTGCGATGGCAGCCTTGTCTTGGATTTTGACTTTGAGGTTCT